TTTTTTTTCTCGGTAATAAACTTTCAGCAGTGAACAACGACCAATTTTACATTATCCAAATCACCAACAATGTTCAATTTCGCAACAATATTTGAATGCACCATTGAAAATTGATCAACTTTTATGAAAATCAAAAGTAATAGAAACAGTAATATTTGCGTTAACTAATCATCTGTACTTTCCTTCAACTTTTATCTTCCGTTTTTGTTAAGTGAAACGAAAAAAGAGCAATAAAAGATTGGGGAAAACATACAGTAAATGATAAGAGAAGCCCCTTTTTCACTTTTTTCTCCTCTTCTCTTCCTTGAGTAAAAAAAAAGCACTAAAAACGTCAACACAATTTGCATAGCAGTGCTTCATCCACTACAACAGAAGTACCGCATACTGTTCAAACTTTTTTTTTTTCATTCTTTCCATCATCAACGTCCTTCATCTCTTGCTGCATCTGCTGCCGTTGCTTCCTTTTCTTTGTTTTTCAACAGTTTTAAACCACCTAGTCATCAATGTCAGCCCTTTTGCCACCAATTCCTTTATTCCAATGTCCCACATTACCATCACTAAAAACAGGAAAAAAATCTTCCTCTAAATTAAAACACCCTACATTTTTTTTTTTTTTTTTTGCTGTCGGTAGAAAAAAAAAGAAGAAAATAATTTATTTTTTTCGAAGTCCTTCCAAAACTTTTTTTTTCTTACTTATGTGTTTATTACTAAACAAGTAGCTTTTCCTCTTAGCTTATCCTCTTATTATTTGGTTCCTCTTACTCCTCTCTCCTCCTTCCATCAAAAAGGGCCCCAAAAAGGGCCCCAATAATTTATTTTTTTCGAAGTCCTTCCAAACCTTTTTTTTCTTTTTTATGTGTTTATTACTAAACAAGTAGCTTTTCCTCTTATTGGTGTCCCATAAAAGGCGACAAATTCTTCAAATATTTGAACACATCTAAACAGCAGCTATTCTTACCACCCATATATATTTACTCACACACACACACGGTGAATTCTACTCTCTTCTTAATTTTCGCCTTTTTAGCTTTTCTGTACCACCACCGCACTCCTCTATCTTCCTTCCATCAAAAAGGGCCCCAAAACTGAAGTTAATGAATAAATAGGAAGATTTTTTTTTTCAATTCTACTTCTTAATACTTCTAACTTTCCCAATTCTTATATCACTCTTTTTTCTGGTGTAGTTACTACAAAGAATTTCTCTTTGTTATTTCAATTGAAAATCTTTTATAAAAAAATTTTTTTCTCTTCTTTTCTGTTTTTCAAATAACAGTCAATTGAAAAACATTGTTAAGCCTTATTTTTTAAGTGGTAAAAATTCGATTTAGTTTTGGTTTTTTTTTTCAAAATTATTTCTTGTTGAGACTGCACACTGAAGAAAGATATTTCCCCCTTTCTTTTCCTCTATTTCATGTGGAAACACAATACGGTTTAACACATATAACAACTAAGAAACGAGCCTTAATGCCCGTTCAATGGAACAGATATATCAAATAACATTCATTTATGCTTTTTAGCAACCAACTGAAACATTCTGAAAGCGCAAAAGACTAGTTTTTTTTTTCAATTCTAAATTCAATTTTTATTTCAATTCTTCCCATCAATCAGATTCTAACCAAAAAATATCGTATATATAAATATAAATATATAAATATATAAATATATAAATATATAAATACATTTTTGTGTCATAAAATGAATGAATAAATCCCATACGTTTACAAAGCTATCGACTCAAACTTTTACAGTATAACTGCCTTAAGGCTAAATTTTGACAAAACCAGTGAAAAGACTGAAAAGTCAAAGTTTTCAGCTCTTTTCTGCCGGATGAGATATAATGAATAATGATGAATCAGGTGAGGCGACTTCCAAATATTAAAAGCTGAAGTCTTCAGTCAATCCTGATTCTTTCACCTTCCAACTTGTCACTTTTCACTCATTCTTTTAGACTTTTTTCGCAATTACTGTTTATTAATTATTCATCTCTGTGGCAACATTTGAGATTTCTTAAAAAGCAAAAACAAGAGGACAAAAAAAGAACTGGCTGCTGCTTATGCACAGTTGCAAAAATTTTGCTATGAGGCAATGCAAAAACCTTTCTCAATTACTTCCCTTTTCCTGCATTTGTTACGAAAAGACAACAACAACAACAAAAAATGAGTAAGCAGTATATCAAAATAGAAGAAAAGAGGTAAACTGCTGAATTCTTCCCATCAATCAAAACTTCTGTTTTTATTGAGCCCAGACAAATTGATGGAATGAATAAATAAATGCCTCTATAAACACATGAAAATATAAAACGCGCACAGACACACAAAACAACACATGAAATATGCCTAAATCATAAAAAAAACAATTTTGTAGACCTAAAAAATTCAACCTTCTCTCAAATAATAATAATCTGTTAAAAGAAATTTTTGTCTTTTTTTTCTACCAATAAGTAAAAAGTTATGGTCTTATGCTACAAAAAAACCAGAAAAGAAAAAAATAATAATAGAAAAAAAAGATAATAAAAACTATTGCTGTGTAAAAATG